TTCTCTACACTGGAGAAAAACATAAGGATTTGCAAATGTTTACCTCAAAGTTCTTAATTTTTTTTTGCTATTTTTACCCAAATTAAGGTTATGTGAGAAATGAGTACTCAATGTAATTTCTTTTTCATTAATACTTGTAGCCAGAGGGTGCCCTCCTGAAGAAACTCCACAAGTGAGACTCGCTGATGACGTTCCAGGAAATCCCTTATATGGACAAAGACATTCAGCTTTAGCTGTAGATGTAGTAGCTGAATAACATGCAGATAGACGTTTTACTGATGGAACATGAAGAAAATAAACAATGACTGTGACAATATGTGGTTTCATCTGTGTTCTTTAAGCCATCTCGGGTATTTTTATAAGAATGAAGTATATTTAAAATGCAATGCTAATCGACATAGAATAAATAATATAAAGTGGCATGATTTCTGCCTCATTCTGTTTAATGAAACCATGTCAGATCACAAAAATAAGTTATTTCAAATACTCGACTGATGTTGTGAAGTGAATTTGGACTAAAACATATCATTATACTTTTGTTGGACAACAGGTTTGTAATCTTTCCTTGTGTTTTCATGGAAAACCAATTAGCAAGATAGGCTAACATACAAAGCCAGTTAGCCTTAATTAACAATCAAATTAATTCAGCATATTAATGTGTTGTATTACCATGTTGACTCTGATTGGACAGTGGAGAGGTACTCATGTTTATGTAATGATCTATTTAAATGTCGATATCTCCAAATACATTCTCACTAGTTCTTTATAAGGTTGAAGATGTCTCCAAATGAACAGGGAGTCGTAGTTATTCTGTTTTTGATATCATCTTTTTATTTCTGACTAGTAATTATTGCAATAGTGACTAGTATTAAATATTACTAGTAAGCATTCATTAGATACTAGTACTTATTTTTTAGCTACTCGTACTTATTCACTAGAAACTAGTACCTATTTAATAGATACTAGTAGTTATTCATTAGGTACTGGCTGGGCGATATGGCCAAAATAATTATCACGATAATTTTTTTCATATCAGTCGATATCAATAATTATCACGGTAAATGTCAAATCTTTATTTCTTTCCAGTTTAAAACCAGATTTTTGCTCCAAAGTGAAAGTTGTAGAAATCAGTCCATTAATTTTCCTTAACAAGATAAATATCTAAATAGAAAAATTAATTTCTTAGTTTCTGCGTGTTCTAATGAGTGATACTGTTTCAAATCAAGAAACAGGTTTGGGTTGCCTGATAATATTAATAATAATTATATCACTTTTTGTCTCTTAGAAATGCACATTTGATAGTAGCTTGAGTTAGGATGCAGAGGTAAATTTGTGTTCATTATCAAAATCAGTAACATCTGTAAAAATTGTAGCAACCTCAATTTATTCTGGTTACATTTATTCTAAATGTATTCAAGTTTTTATTTATTAATTTATTTTTAAATTAAGCATCGGTCTCCCATAGTAACATACATCATGATACTTAAATCATGATAAACGCAGTTAAAACCACACATATAGCACCTCAGTACCATGGTAAAAATATAACTATATGGTTTTTAGGTAGCCTATTTGTATGAAAAACAGTAGTCTAAAAACATTCAGTATAAATGCACACATGCTATAGCTTAATCACAGATACATACTACAATTATATATCATTACTCCTTTAATAAAATTCAGTGTGAATATCCCAAATTTCTGCCACAATACCATGGTGCAGTGAGTGTTACTACAGTAAATCCATGGTAAATTATGGCTATTTGTAGATTGAAAAGCCTTCTGACTGTCTCATTGCACACAGTGTTTCTCCTGTTTGGCTTTAACCCTTAAATGCATGAATATTTCGCCAATCATTATTACATATTCGAGTCTTTAGCGACCCGGACCAATACATCCAGCACGGATGGATCTCTAACTGCTGCAATAGCAAAAAACTATCTTGATATTTTAAGAACAATTACAGAAGAATAAAATAAAGCATGTTTCATTACCTTTTGAAACTTAAAAGGGTTCAATTTGAGCAGAGCACTTCCACAGTACATTCAGCATCTGCCTCATATTCACGATCTCAGGCATATTCTCAAAAATATCATTTTCAATGACTTCATATTCAATATTTTGATCACTGGCAGCTTATTCACCGCATCCATCATTGTGTATAGTAATTGCTCTGCAGTAAAGCCATTCAAACCACTTCAGTTTTTGCTGATGATATTTGTTTGTTTTATGCCTGCGGTAATTATGAGTGAAACATCAAGTCATCATTGTGTATCAAACAATGCCACCTCGAGGAAAAAAGATGCATTGCACACATTGAGTCAAAAAGGGTTCAATTTGAGCAGAGCACACTTCCACAGTACATTCAGCATCTGCACATTCACGATTTCAACCATATTCTCAAAACTATCATTTTCAATGACTTCATATCCAATTTTTTGATCACTGGCAGCTTATTCACCACATCCAGCATCAAATGACAGTGACATTTATCCATCATTGTGTATAGTAATTGCTCTGCAGTAAAGCCATTCAAACCACTTCAGTTTTTGCTGATGATATTTGTTTGTTTTATGCCTGCGGTAATTATGAGTGAAACATCAAGTCATCATTTGTGTATCAAACAGTGCCACCTCGAGGAAAAAAGATGCATTGCACACATTGAGTCATCAGATATGTAAATATAGTTGCGCAGGAAAAAATACTTACACATTTACAGACCTCGGGTCTCTAGCGACCCTATACACTTTTTACAAAAAATTAATCAGAAAACTGGCATTCTTTTATATTTTACTAGTTTTTTCTTGTTATATTGTTTATAATGAATAGATTGAGGAATACTAAGAAAGTTGATGTCTAACTTAAAAAAATGAAGGAGGGAGAGGGTAGAGAATGATGTCCCGGGTCACTAAAGACCCGAGGTATGCATTTAAGGGTTAAACTAGTTTAAATCACCGAGTCATTTGTGTAATGTTAAGTGTTATTCGCATAAGCATTATAACGAACATTTATCAAACTCTTCTTATCGTTTTATCGAGGAAAATTATATAATGATAATTATCTTTATCGAATTATTGCCCAGCCCTAGGTACTAGTACTTATTTATTAGACATTAGTATCTTTTGTAATTACTACTAGTAACAATTCTTACTCAATTTATGTTCTGCGTCTAATGTTATAACTAGTCCAAATGGCTACAGTAGAGTTCAATTAAAAAAATTTACTAGTAAAATAAAAAATCTTACTAGTAACATTTTGAATAAGTACTAATATCTAATAAATGTGTACTACTAGTATCTATTGAATAAGTACTAGTATCTAATGGATAAGTACTAGTATCTAATAATAAGTACTAGTACCTAATGAATAAATACTAGTATCTATTAAATAGGTACTAGTATCTAATGAATAAGTACTAATATCTAATAAATGTGTACTACTAGTATCTATTGAATAAGTACTAGTATCTAATGGATAAGTACTAGTATCTAATAATAAGTACTAGTACCTAATGAATAACTACTAGTACATAAAAATTCACTAGTGGAATACATACTAGTCAAAACTGAATAGTTGATATCTCAATGACGGATCCCCATAGAAGTCAATGGCAAAAATGTAAAATATGTTACTAGTAACAATATAATAGTTACTAGTCACTATTGAAATAAGTACTAGTATCTAATGAATAAGTACTAATATCTAATAAATGTGTACTACTAGTATCTATTGAATAAGTACTAGTATCTAATGGATAAGTACTAGTATCTAATAATAAGTACTAGTACCTAATGAATAACTACTAGTACATAAAAATTCACTAGTGGAATACATACTAGTCAAAACTGAATAGTTGATATCTCAATGACGGATCCCCATAGAAGTCAATGGCAAAAATGTAAAATATGTTACTAGTAACAATATAATAGTTACTAGTCACTATTGAAATAAGTACTAGTATCTAATGAATAAGTACTATGGCAAGCCGTTTTGACTTTCATTCATTCTCAGGATATGAATTCTTGATATCAACAATTCAATTTTTACTAGTTAAAATGTTCATTCTTGAGATCAGGAATTAGATTTCTACTAGTAACAATTGCTATTTTTGATATCAGCAATTACATTTCCACTAGTAACAATGTTAATTCTTGATATCAACAATTCAATTTTTACTAGTTAAAATGTTCATTCTTGAGATCAGGAATTAGATTTCTACTAGTAACAATTGCTATTTTTGATATCAGCAATTACATTTCCACTAGTAACAATGTTAATTCTTGATATCAACAATTCAGTTTTTACTTGTTAAAATGCTAATTCTTGATATCAGTGATTACATTTCAACTAGTAAAAACTATAATTCTTGATATCTGTATTTTCACGTACTAGTACCTAATGAATAACTACTAGTACATAAAAATTCACTAGTGGAATACATACTAGTCAAAACTGAATAGTTGATATCTCAATGACGGATCCCCATAGAAGTCAATGGCAAAAATGTAAAATATGTTACTAGTAACAATATAATAGTTACTAGTCACTATTGAAATAAGTACTAGTATCTAATGAATAAGTACTATGGCAAGCCGTTTTGACTTTCATTCATTCTCAGGATATGAATTCTTGATATCAACAATTCAATTTTTACTAGTTAAAATGTTCATTCTTGAGATCAGGAATTAGATTTCTACTAGTAACAATTGCTATTTTTGATATCAGCAATTACATTTCCACTAGTAACAATGTTAATTCTTGATATCAACAATTCAGTTTTTACTAGTTAAAATGCTAATTCTTGATATCAGTGATTACATTTCAACTAGTAAAAACTATAATTCTTGATATTTGTATTTTCAGTGCCATTCAAAATCAATTGTTGATATCAAGATATTAGATACTAGTGCGGTTTATAGATTAAATGTTAAAACGGCTTGCCATAGCCGCACACTCCTTGATGACGTTATTTCACCGCGCCTGGGCACCTTTGCGGTAACCGGTGCAGAGTGGCTCCTGGCCTGGGCTCGATGGCGGCGCCGGTTGTTGGAGGATTGACGGGGAAGTTTTTCGTTTGTGTGGCGGTGTTTGCATGGCTCGCGCACGGTAAGACGCTTATTTGTTACAATTAATCTTCCTGTCAACGATAAAAACCAATGATTAAGTCATTTTAGACACATTTTCTACAGAGCAGTGAGCTTCTCAGTCTGTCTTCAGCGTATCTGGCCTGTTAACGACCGTTTACAAACTTCGTAATATTTCCACACAAATGACATTTTGGGAAATGATTGCAGTGCAGTTTGTGCTCAAATCTAATAATGTAACTTAAACACCAACGTGTTCAGTGAAAAGGATCTCTGGATGAATTTTAAACCACGCTACATGAACCTTTTCATATAAACAAAAATACAAAATACAAAAAAAACAAAACTTGAGCCAAACTGAAATGAGACATTAATTATAAATAATAAATAGTAAGTAGTCAATAAATGTAATAATCGGGACTAAAGCACGTATTTCGGTACATTTTAAAATAAGGTATATTAGAAGTCAATAAATCCTTTATTAATATGAATATTTTAATTAAAAACGTGTCTCCACGTAGTATTCAATACAATTACAGTGCATTTATTCTATTAACAGCAGCATGGTACATTTATTTTAGTGAATAAAGTACCACATTTCAGCGATCATTTTGTTAGGTGGGTACACAAAATCATATTTTACCCTTGCTTCTAGAAAATCCTCAGTCTTTCTGCTTTCTAACAGCTTCATGTGGCCGTAAACATTTAATTTGATTGTGGCTTTAAGCACTATGCATCATTAAAGTTGTACTTTCACCGTTACTAAGCTGGTAAATGTGGTGTTTACATGGAATAATTGTAATGTGAGTTTACCTTATGGTATGAACTCAAGAGTCTCCGCTGGGATACATCAGCAGCAGTGTTGGGCAGTTACTAGTTAGAGTAATAATATTACTTTTTGCAGTAGCTAGTAGTGTTGCTAAATACTAATAAGATTTCAGTAATAATATTACAGTTACTATCCATAAAACCGCTTGTTACTTTTGATGCCTCAGCCCCTACTGATTTGAAATCCAATAATTCCTAGATTTATTTTCATAATTTTCACGACACATGAAGTCACCATTGCAGCAGGCAAGCTTGGAATATGGAAAAGCTTATATTCAGTGGATGGAAATATTACCAATACATTCATTTTGTCAGGAGAAAAAAATGATCTGATCTGGCATTACACCCTCATCCCTCTGAACCCAATATAAAGTGTATAAAATCTTTTTAGAGAACGAAACATTTTCATATGAACTTGTGATTTCTTTTGAGAAAATACATCATGGAATATAATTGTATATGGGTAACAGAAAAATTAGAGCTACAATTAGCTTCAAGCTACACATGACAATTAATGAGATGAATACAACACTTTTACCTAAATGTTACTATTAATCACCACTGAGTGTTTGTAATAACTTCTGACGGTGATCCAATGTGGATTTTGGTCAAATGATGAGGCAGAAATAGCCTATATTGCTAGTAACATTTTAGAAGAATTTAATGGGAAAGATGTGCAATTACAGCTTCTGTGGGGCGTGAAGGAAAAGTAATGTAATGTAATATTACCTTTGAAAGGAGTAACTAGTAATGAGTAATATATTACATTTTTTGAGTAACTAGCCCAACACTGATCAGCAGGAAAGCAAATAAAACGAGCATCTTCCATCCGAAGACTTGTGGTTGCATTTCGGAGCAAAGCAAAAAAAACATTGTTGAACAGCAATATAGAATGTGCAAAAGTATTGATTGTTTATTCTACAATAAATTGGACTATAAATGATACTACAATACGAAAATACTATAAATTGCTAAACTGTTCTGCGTGATGATGTTTAATGTCTTTGACAGCGCCTGTAGTCGCATTTAGCAACTTGTTAGCAACTGTCTTTTTTTAAAGAAAAAGAAAAAAACACGAGTTGGGGGTGTCACATTATTGTAGAAAAACAAAACAACATTTTTTACAGCATTTTCCTGTTGTTGTACTCTCCAAGAAGTGATTTATAATTGTCTGTTCATTTCATCTTCAGGTTTCCTCGGCATGGATGCAGATAACGTCTCTGTGTCAGTGGTGGAGGGAGATTCAGTGACTCTACTCACCAATGTTAACATTAGCCAACAAGAGAGAATGAAGTGGTATATGAATGACATTCGCATTGCTCAAATCATTGACAGTCAGAGAAAGATCTGTACAGATGTTCAGTGTGAAGAGAGATTCAGAGGCAGACTGCAGTTGGATCATCGGACTGGATCTCTGACCATCACAGACATCAGAACCACAGACTCTGGACTTTATCAACTACTGATCATCAGCAGCAGCAGCATTGAAGAGGAATTCAATGTGTCTGTCCATGGTGAGTCATTAATGAATGTTTTAAAGCGAGTTATTTGTGTTTAAATCATACCTTTAATGTGTTATTTATTTTTATTTAAAAGTACTTGCATCATTAGGATGATTTTACTCTTTACACAACAGAATAATTTGAAACTAATTTGTCTGTCCTTTAGTGAGCCATTAGTTTTAGATTTAGTTTTCTTTTAGTCAAACTTTCATCATAGCATTTCCAACCACCTTTTCTTATGTTTTTCATACTCATTGTTTTTAGTTCACCGGGTTCTAAAGTGTATTCAGAGGAAGTGATGTCAAAGGTTTAGATCACCCAAAAATTAAAATTCTGTCATTAATTACTCACCCTCATGTTTTTCCAATCCCGTAAGACCTTTGTTCATCTTCGGAACACAATTTAAGATATTTTTGATGAAATTCGAGAGCTCTCTGACCCTCCATAGACAGCAAGGTAACTACCACGATCAAGGCACAGAAATGTAGTAAGGACTTCAGTAAAATAATCCATGTGACATCAGGGGTTCAACAGTAATTTTACCAAGCTACGAATACTTTTTGTGCGCAAGGAAAACAAAAATAACAACTTTATTCAACAATTCGTCTCCTCCGTGTCACCCTATAGCGCCATTTTAGGGAGTATCATGATGCATGCACGCGCTTTGGATTGGACGTAGACAACGTATGTTTACTTTCCGATCAAAGCGCACGCATGCCTGTTCTGTGTCAGCAGTAATACGTGCTTACGTTGTTTATATTACGATCAAAGTGCACGCATGCGTTGTAGGGATATGCCGGTATCAAATTTTCATTTTGCGATTAATTGCTCATGCTTTTATCGCGGTATACGGTATTATCACAATATTGAAATTTAGTTTTAAAAACTGCTGTCATAATACAGTATAACAGGTTTAATAACTTTTTTATATAACGTTTAAATGCAATAAAGCAATACAGAAAAATTTATAAAGTTAAAAGTTTTACACAGATTAAAGTGCAAAAGAACTATAAAGACCAATAGGTATCACTTTACAATAAGACCTCATTAGTTAACCTTAGTTAATGCATTAACATTCACAATGAGCAATAGCTACATTTGCTACAGAAGTTATTCATCTTTGTTAAAAAAATACAAGTCTTAGTTCATGTTAGCTCATTAAATAACACAGTTGCAACTTTCGATTTTATCAATGTGTTATTAAATATTGGAATTATTAATTAAAGATTAATGAATGTTCAGAATCATTTTTCATTGGCAGTTTATGTTAACTAATGGTAACTAATGAAGCCCTAATGTAAAGTGTGACCGAACAATAAAGAATCAAAACACTTTCAAACAATATCGAAGGCATGTTGTAGTCCAGATTAAAATGTAAAAAAAGATTGAAAATAAATAGCCTATTAAGTCTAAATATTTAAGTATTTGGCGCTGTGATGAACATCATAGCAAATACACAAATCTGAATGGCTGTTAAATCATTTAAACACGATTCAGAAACAGAAAGTAGTGCAGCTGCTTTGTTTACAGGGTTTCCGGGGTAACGGCTGCATTTAAATGAATTATTATTATTATTATTTCTGCTGTTTAGCGCCATCTGCTGTCAGAGAGTGAAAGTGCGCTTTCATCCAGAGCGTCTCTCACATGTTCCTCCATGTGCTTCTCGTCCGCGCTTATTTACATCAGTGCGCATGTGTCTTTCACGCAAAATACAGCGGTGGTGTGCATTTGGACCAGTTGATGGGAAAATGATTCTTAAAATGCATTCAAAATTCTGAATAATTTGTAATATATAATTATTCACAGTATTTAGAAGTGCCCACGATAACAATATCGTGCATATTCATTATCGTGATATATCGCATTACCGAATACCGGCACAAGTCTAATGCGTTGTGATACTCTCTAAAATGGTGACCTAGGGTGAAGCAGAAGAAACGAAGTGTTGAATAAAGTTTTTATTTTTGTTTTCTTTATGCACAAAAAGTATTCTTGTAGCTTCGTAAAATGACGGTTAAACTACTGATGTCACATGGACTATTTTACTGAAGTCCTTACTACATTTCTGTGCCTTGATCGTGGTAGTACCCTTGCTGTCTATGGCGGGTCAGAGAGCTCTCAGAATGCATAGCATGCAAAATATCTTAATTTATGTTCCGAAGATGAACGAAGGTCTTATGGGTTTGGAACGACATGAGGGTGAGTATCTATCCCTTTAAATAAGTACATAGCCTACATTGTCTTTATGAGCAGGAAATGTGGACAAATGCTGCTTTCCAGAATGATAGTTAAGAAAATGTCAAATAATTACTAAATTTGTTTCATACAATCACAATAAAAACATTTATTTATTCAAGAAGCTTATTAAAAATGTAATGCAGTAATTTATATTCTTGTGTAGTAATGCTTTAAAATTAGTATTTTATACATCTAAATGTGTAATTCATGTGCAGGTCAATAGTAGTAATCACAATTAACGTTATATTTTACTGTTTCTGCTTATCTAGGGAAATTAATGTGCACAATCATTTTCATAGTTTTTCCTGTTATATAGTTTCCGCTCCAAAAAGATCCTTCAGCAGCTGTTGGTTTGTGTTTCAGGTGTTTCTGCTGATGAGCGAAATCAAACGAAGAGAACGTCAGTGAAGGAGGGAGGATCTGTCACTTTAGATCCTGGAGTAATAAAAAACCCAAATGATGTGATGATGTGGTATTTTATTGGCACTCTTAGGAATGAAATCGATGGAGATCCCATTAAGATCTGTGAAGATGTTCAGTGTGATGAGAGATTCAGAGACAGACTGAAGCTGGATCATCAGACTGGATCTCTGACCATCACAGACACCAGAACCACAGACTCTGGACTTTATCAACTAGAGATCAGCAGCCATCAATGTCATGGTCGCTGCACTGTCACCAGTATGGAGAACTTTCATGTTGAGGTCATTGGTGAGCAGTTTGGGCATTTGTAAGGAAGAACCAGTTCACACCGCACCGACAGTCACTTCATCGGGTTTTTGTCCGATCAGTCTTTTGGCTTTTGTCAGATCTCATTTTTGCTGATTGATCATGCTGAATCGGCTCTTGTAAGGTCGTGGAATGTCTGAGAAATGACGTACTGTAATCTGGTGATTGTCCGTGTTGATCGATGTCTGTCAGTACGGTGTGAATTGGGTTTTACGCAGAGATGTAAAAACATCTTTTTATTATAGTATCTTGAAGACTTGGTACTGAATCACCAGTGCTTTTGGCATCACAGTATGAAGCTGTGTTCTACTTTAAACTGAATCGGATTTAGATTTACTCTCTCAGACCTTCTGATATCTCAGTGCTCGTTGTAGATCAGTCGACATATTCACTCAAACTAATGACTGTCAGTTTTGATCTGTTCCAGGTTCAGGTCGGTCTTCGGTTGTTAGAGGAGGAATAATTGGTAGTGTTCTGATGGCAGCTGTAGCTGCTGTTGGTTTGATTTGCTATCGCTTTTGGATCTACAGAAATGGCAAGTATCACCTACAGAGACTATGGTGGCCTCAAAACATTGTCTGCCTTGTGCTAAAATAGTGTGATTATTATTCAATGCAGACATGGAGAAAAACATGAAGGGATGGCTTTTGGATGAAAACCATGTATGAGGTGAGATACGGTATTACTGTAGTAAGTCTGTGTTGAAATGAGCATATCAATGGGAATAAACCTTTCAAACAGAATTCAGTTCACTAATAGATGACAGCTGTGCTGATTTCCTGAGTTTCTATCATTTTTTAATTATGCTGTTCCATTCTCTCTCTCTATCTTCTGTGATTTATTGTTTTCTTACAGGACAAGAAAGATGGAGGTCCCATTTAATTAAATTGCCAAAACATGTTTCTGCTTTTATAAACCAGAATGGGGAAATGGGGCTTGTGTTTTTGAGCTGTAAAACTATGAAAAAATATAATATATTTTGTTAATTTATAAGGAAATGTATGTATATATAATCCAGGATACTCAGCGGTCACCTTACCTGTTACTATTATGATGTTTGCTTATGAACCAGAACTTGAGTGTATCACAGGGATTGTCTTTAATTGCATTTGTGTAACACACCAAACACTGTTGGATGTTGCTAGAATTATCTGTATTGATTTAACATCAGAACATGGAGACATTTTTCAGCTGATCTTCCCTATGCATATACGTATATATGTGTGTGTGTACGTATATAGATGTTGCTGGAATTATCTGTACTGTTAAAGAACTTTAAGTTCTTGTTTATGTATATAATGTATTTTATTTTCTGAGATGAACAACACTACCGATCTTGATCGTGATGATGATAATGTCATCATAAAAGACATTAAGTACCTAGTCTTATATAGTTTTCTTTTTTCCTATTATCATGCACCTTTTTTGTTTCTTCAAAACAATGTTTGTGTTAATCAGCTCAGAGAATTTTGAAATCCTGCCAGAAAAACACTTTCAGAGCCCGCTAACTAATTAAAAAGTGGTAATCACTTTTGTATTGAATTTGAATGTTTCAAATGTTTGCATTATGAGCATATACTTTTTACTAATATATTTGTTTATTTTGATGACAATGTGAACGGATGTAACACATTTTGTGTTGATTTTAAATAAACTGTTTACATATACATTATCATTATTTGTCAATTATATTGACATCAAAAAGATTACATGGCAAGCATGTATCAGTGTTATTTATTATCATTAATATTGTTATTAATATTTTGAATGAGTTATTAGTATTTTCCATATTAAAGTTTTAATATATTTTTTTGTTTGTTATTTTCTTCTCAATCTGTCTATGTAGTTTTTTTTATTATTTAAGTTTTAGTCTGAGTAATTATTTTATTTTTAGTAAAGGTTAATGTTAGTTAATTTCAAATTACAAAAATATTTTAGTTGATAATAACCGTAGCATGTAGGGACAATCAGGGTGAGTTGAGCCAGTTTTAACTTGCAGTGTGTTTAAAGAGAGCACATGTCAGTAATGGGTCCAACTGAAATATGTACATGAATTTCATGATGTGGTGCATCCTTGGGAATAATCACTCTGGATCTAACATAAACTGCTTTCCAAAAAACGGTGGTTTCTTGGCTCAACTTGCCCCCAGTGAGGGGTAAATTGAGCCACATGGAGTTAAACTGTGCCATTGATTATGCAGAATTTATTTTATTTATCTATTATACTGGAGACTTTTTTGAAGGATATTGTTTTTATGTTTGTTTTGTAATTTTGAGGTGTTCAGTTTTATTTTGGTTTTAGAAAATAAACGTGATTACTCTCCTCACAAATCAACTCTTTCTTGTTTTTGTTACATATTCTCTCTGTGCCTTGCCCTGGACTTTTATGTCACTTCCTGTCTCCCGTGGTGTTTGTAGTCAGTTTGTAGTCCATTTGTTCATTGGTTCCCCTTGATTAGCCTCCCCAGGTGTGTCTTATCTTGTTAAAGGGTTAGTTCACCCAAAAATCATTAATTACTCACCCTCATGTCGTTTCTAAAACCCGTAAGACCTTAGTTCATCTTCGAAACACAAATTAATATATTTTTGATGGAATCTGAGAGCCAGTGTTGGGGGTAACTCATTACAAGTAATGTGAGTTACGTAATCAGATTACTTTTTTCAAGTAAGTAGTAAAGTAACACGTTACTTTTTTAATTTACAAGAAAATATCTGAGTTACTTTTTCAAAAAAGTAATGCCAGTTACTTTGTTTTCCCATTTATTGACTGACAAGTCTCCTGTTCCCATATTGGGAGAAATCGGGAGTACAGAGGTGTTGTGTGTGCTGTGTGAACATGATGTTACTGTAGTTCTAGACTAAATGTGAATGTGCATTAATTCATCCCACTCACAAAAAACTGATTTAGTATTAATAATAATGAATTAAAACAGTGAACTGCAAACTCAGAATATGACGCAAACCTGCAATAATTAAATATGTTAAATAACACAAATGTATCTAATCCCATTTTATTAACCAATATCTTTGCTGCTGACCTTTGATGACCCAGTTCAACCATACTAATAAGCAAAAATGACTTTAGAGAAACTAACAATTGTGCTTTGTTTTCTTGTGAGTCTGTGTGTTTAATGATTTTAGAGTGGCCTTTTATTCTGTTCTTTGTTCCCTTTTGTTTTTGGCTTATTGTTTGTTCTAGTTTTTACATTAAGTACCTGCACATAGATCCTTGCCTCTGCCTTTTTCCCCAGCTTCTCCACAACATTACAGTTTATCACTGGCAAATCTCTTTGACTAGTGCATTTTTTGAGCCAATATTTAGTATAAGTAAAATACTTAAGTACTGTTAAAATCAGATACTCTAAGGCTTTTACTCAAGTTGTTTTGGAATTGGTGATTTGTAACGTGCAGTGGAGTAATTTTCACTGTAAGGTATCTGTACTTTTACTCAAGTATGGTTTTTAGGTACTCTTTACACCTCTGAGCCTCATATTGTAACTTCCTAAAGCACAAACACGTGTGATATTTTTTCAGATTTGTCTGTAATTGCTCAGACATAAGAAGCATGAATCTTTGAACATTTAAAAAGAAAAAAAATCACTTTTAACAGCAAAAATTAATAAATAATAAAAACAGTTTTTTTTTTTAAACTTAAATGTAGTTACCAATTATTCCATGAGCCCCTCTCCATCACAGGGTGAGTAAAATGGATAACCATTTTATTGTGTGACTCAATACATTTTTGTTTAAATTAAGTAATTATAGATCCACTGTAGACATTAAAATGATATTGTATGTGTTAGATCTCTATTTTAAATTCCTAAATTAATTTCCAGGTGGTAAATGTCGATATATTTAAGCTCTTGACTGATGTCAATAAATTAATTAATATTGTTACTGTTGTTGTTCATAGTGTTATATGGCGACAACAAGTCGCCATATAACACGCAGTGAAGTTGTCATGACTGTGCGATGACAGGTATGATTCATTCTAGAGAATCGATTCGTTCGCGCGGCTCGCCAAAAGAATCGATTCAACTGATTTATTTGAATGAATCATTTCGTTAAACACTGCTGCTTATAACTACGTTTTCGATCAAAATAGCTAATTGGTGATATGTTAAACATAACAGTTTCTATAGTGTTTCAGAATCACTTTGCCCAAATCATGAAAAAGAATCAATTCGAAACTAAGATCTGATTCGGAACATCACTATTACCGCTTAGCTACTAGTTTCAGCCAGAAAACAGTATCCTGAAACTCTACACCAGAGCAATAAATATCTCTACCATATGTAGTATGCATTATTAACGAGCATTTTGTGTCGTAACCTGTTGTGAGGAATACGTAGTGCGCACACTTCCTCATGCAACAGCCTCATCGTGTGGAAACACCTTCAACACATCCACACACGCCAGAGGAAGAGAGAGGGGGAGAGAGAGAGAGGGAGAGAGGAAGAGAGAGAGGGAGAGAGAGAGGGAGAGAGGGGGCGGCGAATCGTTTGCTGTCTTTACGTCCTCTTCTCTCTCTGAATCTCTAGTTTTCCTCCTAACATGGCTGCTCTCTCAGCCTGGTTCTGGAACGAGCGCTTCTGGCTTCCGCACAATGTCACTTGGGCGGATCTGGCCGACCCAGCGCCCGGAGTGGAGTACCCTAAAGCCGGCCACTTGCTCTCCGCGCTGCCGCTGGCCTTGGGGATCTTCGCGGTGCGGATCGTCTTCGAGAGGTACGCTTTGCGTTGGACTGGACGCCTTTTTACGCGTCTGGCATTCATTTGGCCATCCAGAACTTTGTGTAGACTCAGCTGATGTATAAATATCAATCTTTTAAACTCACATCACATGCTTTCCCGTGTCTGAACGTTTAAGCGAAGCTGTTCTGAAGTCCATTTGGGCTGGATGAACTTAAAAGGAATTTCAAGCATTCAGGTTAGGAACTTTCAGCCTGAGGCATCTGTCAGCTGACCAGCTTAAGGCCTAGGCTCAGAAAAGAGGATTGCATTTATTTTTCTTTGCTTAAAAGTCTTTTTATGTGTCTTTTTTTCCACCCCTACCTTTACAACCGCACTCTCATTTAAAGAAAGCATGCTTTTTAGTCAAACATCCTTTGTTGAGCATAAGTGCAGGAACATGTGTGATGATATTGAGTTACCTAATGTTGATTTTGACACTGTAATATCTGGAAATAGTGTCAGAAATGAACACCACACCTTTAGAAGAGCCTGGGATGCATGTACCTTATAAGCATGTGCAGTGTCATGTCTCAACTATGCTTTGAATTCAAGAGAGCTTGAGTGGTAACTTGTGTGTCAGTGTGGGAAAGCTTGGTTTTAAAGGCATAGCGCACTCAAAAATGAACTACTGTTTTCTGTCATCGTTTACTCACCCTCACCTTTTGATGTTTTTTGAAGACTTTTTTATGTGGAACACGACAGGAGATGTTTGGTACAATGTTCAGGCTGCACTTTTCAATACAATGAAAGTGAATGGGGACCAGTTCTGTCAAGGTCTGAAAAAATACTAATATGGCTTGATTGCGAAGTGAAAACTGATTTAATGTTCTGTATGTTCTTCAAAGGAGTCATGACGTGGATTTAAAAAAAAATTATTTAAAAAAGTTCCTTGAGGTTTAGCCTACTCATAATGTTAATAAAGTTTTTTTCCACGCACACACGAAACGAATCAATATGTGGGAAAAAGATTATTTTCAACCCTCATTTTGAACCTCTCTCTGAAACGACTTGTTTTAGGGGGCGGGTACATTCAGGCTTCTCAGTAATCCACTACTGTTATGATTGGCTAACGTCATTGCATAGGAAACAGTATCAGCACCCCCTAACTATTGCACGTGAGTGTTTTGGAAGACTTTTTTATGTGGAACACGACAGGAGATGTTTGGTACAATGTTCAGGCTGCACTTTTCAATACAATGAAAGTGAATGGGGACCAGTTCTGTCAAGGTCTGAAAAAATACTAATATGGCTTGATTGCGAAGTGAAAACTGATTTAATGTTCTGTATGTTCTTCAAAGGAGTCATGACGTGGATTTAAAAAAAAATTATTTAAAAAAGTTCCTTGAGGTTTAGCCTACTCATAATGTTAATAAAGTTTTTTTTCCACGCACACACAAAACGAATCAATATGTGGGAAAAAGATTATTTTCAACCCTCATTTTGAACCTCTCTCTAAAACGACTTGTTTTAGGGGGCGGGTCCATTCAGGCTTCTCAGTAATCCATTACTGTTATGATTGGCTAATGTCATTGCATAGGAAACAGTATCAGCACCCCCTAACTATTGCATGTGAGTGTTTTGACAACATAATCAAAATAAAACGGTTATTTCCAGACTAAGCATTATTAAATAATTTACTTATGGTTTGTGATGCAGCTGCAGTCAGATCTAATACCGCTTCATCTTTCATCAAATGCTTCTATTGTGAACTCTGTGACCGTGTGCCTCGTTTACAAAGCAAAATACTCCAAATAATCCTCTGACACGATTCGGGGTGCCATTAAAAATAAACTATCCACTTGTTCCTTATGCTGGGATCCTTCTGATATCTGTACAAAGATGCGAACAAGCTGTTTAAACCAAACGCGTCAAAGCAAACGTTCTTTCACTCCATTTGTCCGATTGACGACTGACACAAGCGTGTGGACTGTGTCAGAAAGCGAACGTGCATCTGTATTCTGTATCCAGTGTAGACA